AATTAAATTTATTATTATTTAATCTTTTAATTTTAGTATTAAAAATTTAAATTACATTTTATTAAATTAAAATAATTACAATATATTTTTCTACTTTGAGAATGAACAATATAATTAAACTCAAAATTGATAATATTATAATACATTTTTGAACTCTTTTGGATTAATTTTTTTTCCTAATTTTTGATAAAGTTAATTTTAATATTTAAAAGTATTTAACATTTTGAATTCTGAAAGGTTTTCTCTAATAGCAAATTTAAAAACATAATATTCAAAAAAATAGTTAATGTAAGTTTTCATTATGATATAATAATGCGGTTCCACGTTAACCGCTATCTAAAGTATATTTTAGATAGCGGTTAAGGGTTAACCGCTATTAGAAGTGCCTTTTAATAAGCTGTTCAAATGGAACCGCTATCATATACAACCAGATTTTTTGATTCTGATCGATTAGATTTTCAAAATGATCGATCATATTTGATAATTTTTTCAAATAATTAATTATAATCGATTAGTTTTCTAAATTATTGATTAGAATTGATTAGTTTTTCAAATAATAGATTAGAATTGATTAATTTCTGAAATATATACTAAAAAATTATAATTAAAAATATAAATTATTTAAGAATATTGACTATTTTAAATATAAAATAGAACATGGGAGGAGATGAGGATGATAATATAATGATAGAACTTACAAAAATGTAGAATTGAGAAGTTTGAAACAAATAAAATTAAGAAAATAGCGATTTAATTACACTTTTAATAAATTTAAGATAATACTAGTTTTGATTTTTATTTTAAATATTTATTTTAATTATTTAAAACAGAGAAACTATAATTTTAGTTTCTAACTACTGAATTTAAAGAATTAAATTTATTATTATTTAATCTTTTAATTTTAGTATTAAAAATTTTAATTATATTTTATTAAATTAAAATAATTACAATATATTTTTCTACTTTGAGAATGAACAATATAATTAAACTCAAAATTGACAATATTATAATACATTTTTGAACTCTTTTGGATTATTTTTTTTCCTAATTTTTTATAAAGTTAATTTTAATATTTAAAAGTATTTAACATTTTGAATTCTGAAAGGTTTTCTCTAATAGCAAATTTAAAAACATAATATTCAAAAAAATAGTTAATGTAAGTTTTCATTATGATCGATTATAATTAGAAATGATCGATCATAATTGAGAAGATATAATAATGGCTCTACATTAACCGCTATCTAAAGTATATTTTAGATAGCGGTTGAGGGTTAACCGCTATTAAGTGCTCTTTAATAGCGGTTCATGTGAACCGCTATAATATACAACTGCATTTTAAGATTGTGAAGTCTCGGGTTGTATTTCGCTTGAGCGACACTATACTCGCTCGAACGACATCCGATTCAAACATGAGGTCACCCATGTTACATTATCCGACTAACTTTGATCGACGGTTAGCAAGTCAACATTCGCTCAAGCGAAAATAACATCGCTCGAGCGACGCCACCTGCACAAAATTGGCATTCTCGGGTTGTATTTCGCTTGAGCGACATGGTCTCGCTCGAGCGACGCCACCCGCACAAAATTGACATTCTCGGCTGTTTTTCGCTTGAGCAACACCGATCTCGCTCGAGCGACATCCACATTTTTTTATTATGATCGATTACATTTTCAAATGATCGATCATATTTGAAAATATATAATAGCGGTTAATATTTAACCGCTATTAGAAGTGCTATATAATAGCGGTTAAGATTTAACCGCTATTAGAAGTGATATTATAATAGCGGTTAAGATTTAGCCGCTATCATATACTACCACATTTTTCACTTTCGTATCTTGCGCCACTTATCCCCAAATAACCCTAACTCTCGCGCCTCACTCACCCATTCCACTTAACCTTGGCCGTATCTCCTCCTCACTCTCGGCGAGCCCTAGCCCCCTCACTCGCTCCCCCAAGTCGCCCCTACCCTAATCCAACCTCCACCAAAGATCCTCGTCAACCGGACGCCACCCCGTGAGCCACCGCGCCACACCTCTCGTTCTTAACCTCCTCACTGACCTTCCGACACCCTCAACCAAGGTTTGGCTTGTTTGAATGTATATACTCGTTATTCTCTTGCATTGTGAATAATATAGGAGAGATAATTTTGACATGAATTTCTTTATCGTTTGTTGTAGGTGGATTTGTGAAGTAGATAGGTTCTTCGATCCCTCTTATTGCGGATTTGGTGGTGCTTGACAGATCAATTTGGGAACTTGTTGAGACCGTACGCCCTCGGGTTAACCATTTGTAATTTGTTTTAATTATCTGTTGGATCTTAGTGAAAAGAAATTTCATAATTATTGGGTTTACTTATACAATTATTTGGTGGTCTCGTATCATACGTACTTGCATAAGTAAGTGGATAAATACCTTGGAAAAAATGTATTAGAAAAACGTAAGTACTTGCATCACATGAAGTGAATAATGCAGTTTCACTTATGCTGATTGTTGTAGTTAATTTGCAAGAATAGAAAAACATAAGTAAGTGCATCACATAAAGTGAATAATGCAGTTTCACTTATGCTGATTGTTGTAGTTAATTTGCAAGAATAGAAAAACATAAGTAAGTGCATCACATAAAGTGAATAATGCAGTTTCACTTATGTTAATTATAATTATTTAATATGAAATTTCTTAATAATATCAATCCCACAATATGTTTCAACACAGGTTTATACCAACGAAATGGTCCTCCCTGCTATAATCTCTAGAATCATCAAACAAAAATTTGATGAACCAAGTCCCACTTGGAGAAAGGTTTCACTTGAGCTTCGAGATAGATGGTTTGGAGAGTTCAAGGTAATTTGAATTATAGTTACATTAAACAATGTCATTTCATTCTTATAAATTAAATGTTTGTTGTGTATTTTATTTATGCAGAAAGAGTATATATGGGATGTGGAACAAGAGCAAGCCATAAGATCTGTTTTTGATAAGAAAGGTTCTCGAATTTTAAAAAACTCAATGAACAAAGTTAGGAATGGTAAGGATACGGGAATCTGGATACTCGCCAACTGCTCGAGCATATTAAGACTTTGAATCTTGATTAGTTGTTAAGTTCTTAAGTTTCATTTGTGTTATGTTTGGATGGATTAAGCAGGTACAAATTTTGTAAAATTGGATATACAAAATTTGACTTTAGTTCTTAAGTTTTCATTTGTGTTATGTTTGGATGAATTAAGCGGTACAAATTTTATGATTTGAATAATTTGACTTTAGTTCTTAAGTTTTCATTTGTGTTATGTTTGGATGAATTAGCGTGTACAAATTTTGTCAAATTGGATATACAAAATTTTAAACGAAAATTTTCAGATTTGGTTAGATTAGCAATCGAATTTTTGGTCGCTACAAATTTATTATAATATACAATTCAAATTTAGCGACCGATTTAGCGATCGATTTAAATTATTAGTTAAATAATTCAATTAATATATTAGCGATCGATTATATCCGTCGCTATTATTGTTAACTTTGTCTCCAATTTAGCTGATCGATTTAGCGATCGATTTTAATTTTTATTTAAATAATTATATTAATATATTAGCGACCGAATATATCGATCGCTATTTTTTAAAACTTTACCACTGAATTTAACGACCAATTTATTATATTAATTTCGATCGTTATTTTGGTCTTCAATGAATAAGTGACCAAATTATTTAGCGACCACTTTAGCGATCATCTCATCTGGTCGCTATTTAGCTGATCGAAATGTAAATCGATCGCTAACAAATTAGCGACTTGCTCTTTATGACCAATCATTTCGGTCGCTAATGTAATACTGATCGAATTTTGGCCATTAGCTGACCGATTTTTTCTGATCGCTAATAACGTTTTTTCTTGTAGTGTTAAAAAAATTAATTTGTATTTTATTTATTATAATATAATTTTTTTTATTAGTTCAACTAATCTTTTATTTATATTTTTTTTATCATCTTTCTATTTTCACTTCTTCTTTTTTTACTTTCAACTTTTTATTTCACATTCATTCTTTTACTCTTTACACTTATTCACTTTTCTTTCTTATCCTTACACTTTCTCGTCTTTTTCTTTCACAATTTTAACTTGTAGCATAAAAATTATATACTTTTTTTCTATAGCTTTTTTATATTTTTTCTCTTTTAAGATTTTAATTTTACAGCAAAAAAATTATAATTTTTTATTTTTTTTCGTTAAAAATATGGAACATTAAAAATTAAAAGACAAGAAGTTCAAGAGATACTTATTTTATTATTATTTTTATTCACTATTATATCATTTTAATATGTGTAATATATAAATATAGAATATTAATACAATTTTGAAATTTATTTTAAAATTAGTTAATTGTTTTAATATTTTATTGTTTTATACTCTACTATTAAAATATGAAAATGAAAAATCAGTTGAAGTTATATATCTAAGAAAAAAATATAATATATTTTTTGTATGATAATATCTATATTCATTTATTAGTCCCTCCCTCCAAAGTTTTTCATCCCACCCCGTGATTTTAATTGCAAAAAAATCCTTCCACCTACATTTTGTTATCTAATCATATGTGCATACGTGTGAGTACAAGAAAAATTAGTATTACTAATATATGGGTATAATACAAAAGATCTATCAATAATTAGATATTATCAATAAATTATTGACAAAATATTAACGTTTCTAAGAATAATAATGTTTATTAACGTTATATTAATATATAATATTGATATATTATTAACATGTATTTATTATAATGTGTTATATGTACATATATGTGTACAAAAGTCACATAAATTAAAGTAAATTAAATTCAGCAGTTTCCATTATAAAGGCAACATTATTATGTGATGAATAAGTTTGAATTCGAATGAGAATTTTTTGTAACATTATTTGAGCCATGCATAATACGCAGGTAACCTTAATTCGTACAAAAAGTTTTACAAGAATACAACGTTAACAGTGGAAAGAATCCAGAGCCAAAATGCTGGCGAAACCAATCAGAAGAATTCCTTTCTTATCTTTCTCACCTCGCAAAACTTGCCACGAAAAGGTTTTGAATTTCGGTACACTTCATTGTCTCGCAGTATTTAGGTAATAAATATGATGTATCAGTTTTCTGTATGTTTTTTTCTTTGCTATTTAATCCATCCATAGAAATGTGCCAAAGGAAAAACCTGGCGGCAACGTTTTCTCACCAGAAATGTCCTTGTCAACAAAGATAACGAAGGTGGTGGAGAATCTTGGGATTCATATTCACCTTCCACTAGCAAGGTGCATAGGAGTCAAGAACGTTTTGATAATGTCAAGGGTCTTTTCCGCGAAGAAGGCGAAAGAGAACCAAGTGGTGACCAAGTTTAGGTGTAGGTGGTCCACTGAATAATCAAATATCTAACTCAACCATCATGCCTCTGGTTCATGTATTCGTAAGGGTAGGATTAGGACCATAAAGGAAAAAGAAATGTCTTCTGGCTCCTTCTTCTCTTTTATTTGCCTCGTTTATTTAGCCATTTTTTAAAATTTAAAAGATCCATATCTTTGGAATGAATTCGTGAAGATCAGATTTTGGTAACTCAAAGCTTTATCGTATAACAAATTGAATGAAGCAAGCATGTGGATGTTAAATCCGAACCTATGAAACAAGAACACGACATGTTGTATATGCTGAAGAGTGCCTGAACCAATTATCTTTAGTGTAGGAGAGCAGGAATTAAGGCTAATAAACCAACAATTGGGCAAAGATGGGTCACACTCACCCCACTAAACAGGATGTGGTACGTACGACACAACATCAAAACATACCCCACACCACATAATAAGCAAAGGTAATCCACATATTAGAGGTATGCGTATGATACTCCAATCAATTAGGGAAGACAAAACCTTTTTGTTTCATAACTATCGAACTACTTTTGAAGATTAATTCACCACAAAGAGACTTATGAATGAATTAAGAGACACCTATTAGATACTAATTAAGTATAGGAGGCTGCCCTCTTTGCAATCGCCATTAATGGAGGAAAAGATAAAGAAATATACCAAGAAAGTGTAAAACTGTTTACTAACATATCGACGCCGTTTAAGAGATTAGATTCCACTTTTTTTCTCTCATGATGCAGAGGTAGATAACCAAAGCTTCCAATGGTTGGAAATGAAAAAAATTGTACAAGATTCGGCTTGATGTTTAGATATGATGAAATTATAATATATAAATAAGTTTAAATTTTGTTTGATAATTTATTTTAGTTCTCCAAACATAATTTATATATTTATTAGGCTGCATACCACTTGGGGATGCTCCATTCTAAGATTAGTGGTGGTTATCACCACTTGAACCAAAGTTCAAGATAAAACTCAAGAAAAGAAGAATTCTCAAGAGTATAACTCTCAAATTTTTATTCAATTTCTAACCATTTATAAGAGGTGGGGAGTTATAGACATGGTTGAGAGACTTAGAGGAAATTTTATTAGGGATTCTAGAAGTACATGTTGCCCTAATTTTAACATAGAAAGGGTTACTCTCATGTCTTGTCTCCAAAATCGTGGTCTTTCTCATCCAGAAAGGTCAATGGTTGACCTTCTCTTCCCTCATGGGTTGCCCATGCTTCAAAGACTTGGGTAAAAGGTTTCTTTCCTCTAAAAAAGGTGGTGGACTTTAAAAGAGAGGTGTCATTTAGTAATCCTACAAAAATAGGATTTAAATGAGTCTAAGAGATTAAAGAGAAGGAAAAATACTAAGTAAATTAGAGGTTAAGGGTGACGAAGAGGTTTTCCTTCTAGTCAAGCTTCTAATAATCCTCTTAGGGATACTCTCTCCTCTCAATGAGAACTTAGGAACTTATCATCCTTCCCTCCTTGTATAGTTGTTTGCACTATCTTACACTCTCAATACAATTTATTACATAGATCTTTCAAATAAATATTTTCTTTTGAAGTTGCAAGCGTAAATAGTATAATCATCCATACTATTTTGCGGTCTTTTAAATAAATATTCTTTTTTGGAGTTGTAAGTGTAGCTAGTATAATTGTCGCACTATCTTACACTCTAGAATATAATCTAAAAGAATATAAACCCCATAAATAAATATTCTCTTTTGGAGTTATATTTTATTTTATTTTAATAATTATCCATCTTACATTGTCTAATATATTTTATATTTATAACTTTCATTGTAACTTACGGTAATCATAACAATAATATTTATTATTTTTCTTTCTTTTTATAAAAAATAATATTACTAATAAACTTATTATATATTTATTATATTATAAAAATGTTATTTTATTAAATATGGTTGGATGTCAGTTGAACCTTTATGCCCTGAACACATGTCTTCACCTGTTTAGTGATCGATCCGGTTTTAAAAACATTGGTGAGATGCTTTAGAGTTGAAATTTTTCTTAACTTTTTCTTCATGCTCTTATCTACATTAAACCTTTATTTGTAAAAGTAGAAATTTAATATAAAAATATCAATAAACTTAGGAAGTTAATAAAATCATTATGGAAACTTACTTTAAAACGAGTCTAGTATCGCTCCTTCTCCGACTAAGGTATGAATCTCCAAGTAGCCCAAGGTTATAAAAATTGTTGCTTAATAGGCCTTGTGATTGCCTGGGATACGATCCTAGATGGAACAAACTTAATTATAACAAACATTCATTCAAATTTATGAGAAATTGAAGTTAGTTATATAACATAAGAATAATTAATCAAAATGAAATCAAATATTACCCTTGTCCGTAAGGTTAATCATAGGTCGATCATACAGAGTTGGATCATCTTCTCCAACTTTTGAATCAACATGAACACTAGATAGTGATGGAACCGCAAGACATGGGGATGAGGATGGTGTAGCTCCAACAGTAGCACTCGTATAGGACATATGAGGATGGTCTCGGCTCCAATAGCAACAGTTGATGGGACGGACGAGCTAGGTGTGTCTCCAACAGTAAAAGGAAAAAAAAGGATTGTGTGGGTGAAACAACAGATATGGATAGGGCATGTGTGGATGCAACAATAGTGGGTGGCGAGTGGGATAAATGAAGATAGTGTGACTCTTAGTAGGGGAAGGGGATTGTGTGGTTGGCTTAAAAGATGTGGATGGTATGTCCTGTGGCATAACTCTTAGATCATATTGTCTCTGCTTCCTTTGTGTTATCCCTTTCCCTTTATTGTCACTAGAAGGTGGAGTCAAGGTGGACCTCCCGATGACATTATTTTGATCTCACCACCATCCTCTTTGGAGGATATTTGTAAAGTGTATGGTATTTGTGTTGTCGCAAATATTGAATTTTTTGTTGTTGAGGCTTGTTCCCTAAGTGACCCCGTGTGTGTGTGTGTGTATATATATATATATATATATATATATATATTTGTTTATGAATATTTGTTTAAAGAGATATATTTTCTTGTTCATTTCTCCGACTTTGAATATGATATGTTTTCCATGTTAGAGTGTTGCTCCTAGTTAACTCCATCCAAATAGCTAACCTTTTCTAAAAGCATTTCAAACTTTATGTGATCATTTTCATCTTATTCCAATTATAAATAAATTTATGTATTTCTATCAACTTAAGCATGATCAAGAAGTTGGTTGGGTTTCCCTAAATGGGTCTCAAGATGGTGACATTTTTAGTGTGTATTATGATTTCTTCAAAAACTTTAAAATTTGTTTTTTTCAAAATAAAATGTGCTTGGTAGGATTCTTTAGGAAGACTCCTTTTGAAGTCGGATCATTCTCTACATTTTCCTTTTTGAAAAATAGTTTTTCTTTAATTATGGATAATGATTCTTATTGTAATGGTTGTAGTTCTAGGTTGGTGAAAAAGTTACGCTTAACTACTACACCTCATCCAAAACCTTACAAACTTCAATGGCTCTATAATAATGGTGGTATTATAGTTAAAGAATAAGTAAATATACCAATGTCCGTAGAAACTTACAAAGATAGTATTTTAGCGTGATGTCGTTCCTATGGATGTTGGGAATATTCTATTTGGTAGGTAATGAAAACATGATAAAGAATCTATCAATGATGGTCACACCAACAAGATAAGTTTCCTTCACAAAGAAAAAGTAATATTGTGTCCTCTTACACCTTGACAAGTAAGAGAAGATCAAGTAAAAATAAGAAATAAAATTGAAAAAGAGAAGAAAAAGTCAAAACAAAATCCTCTCTTTCAACAAAATTGAATTGAGAAGGAATAGGGTTTAGGGATCTATGTTTCCTCTCTTAGAATTAATAGCAGAGTTCAAGAGAAGGAGGGTGAATGAACTTTTAAAGATTTAAAAAGAAAAAACACAAGTATTGGAAATCGGAATACCTCTTTTCACTTTGTAATTGAAAGATTATTTGAGTCTTTATTAATCAAGAATGCAACAATTAATTAAAGAGTGAAGAGATAGAGAAATCAACACGTGAAGATTTTTACTAGTTCACTCAAATCTTGAGCTATATTCAAGTCGTTAGAAGAAATGACCAAGATTAAGAGGGTGGGGTGAATTGATTCTTGAAACTTTTTGTAATCTTTTGCAAACCCAATTCTTTGGGAACATTCAAAGAATTAATTTATATAAGATCTTAGATGTAAAGAAATAACAACAGAGTAAGCATAACAAAGAAAAGAAATCAAGACACAAGAAATTTATACTAGTTTGTTAAGAACAATGACCAAGACCAAAAGGAGTGAATTAATCTTGTAAAATCTTTTTCAAAACTTTTTTGAAATAAACCAATTCTTAGAGAACATAATCAATCTTTTAAAAAATTAATTGATAGGCATAGTAAAAAACAAAATGTAATGAATTAAGAGATAGAGAGACAGAACACAAGATTTTATTTTGGTTCACCTAACCACTTGGTTACATCTAGCTCTTAGCTCAAAGTAGCTAAGTTCCACTACAACCAATATTCAATTACAAAACACAAACCATTAGACATATCCTATCTACCCTAAGAGCTTCTTGAACACCTAAGACCATTATCGAATCAACTAGCAACCCACACTAGGTTGCCAACAACAAGTACCCAACACCAGGTACCTCCAATACACAAAAAGAATAGAATACAATGATAGAAATCACCTGGAATGATTATACGAAGACAACAACTTAGGTGTAGAATCTCAATCTCTAGTAATCTCTCCAAGAAAGTAAATAAATTTCTCAAGAATATTTTGAATTGATTTATAATGATAGCACACGTAAGTCACTCTGGAAAATCTCTCAAGAGATTGCTAAAAAGTTTGCACATATTGTATGTTTGAAAAGAGAGAGAGAAATTAATTATAATGAAATATGTCAGTTTTAATCAATTAAATTATTCATTTAATCAATTATTTTCATTTAAATGATCAATT